TCCTCCTCCTCCTCCTCCTCCTCCTCCTCCTCCTCCTCCCTCCTCCTCCTCCTCCTCCTCCTCCTCCTTCTCCTCCTCCTCACCCCCTCCCCCTCCTCCTCTTTCCTCCTGTTTTTCCCTCGGACTCCCTCGTCGATGATCCCCCTTGCCTCCTCGCCTCCCCGCGTTTCTCCTGACGTTGTTCTTTCTATTCCTCCTCCCCTGCACACTGCGCGCATTCCCCACCTCACCCTCCGCCAGCCGCCCTCCTTCCCCTGTCGTCCCTCCTCGTCCTTCCGCCCCCCTCCCCCGGCCCAGGTCCTCGAGTCCTCCATCCTCGCGCCTCGCGCCCTCGGGCCTTTCGGTCGCGTTTTCCCCCTCCACCTCTTACGATTATTCTTCTTCTTCTTCTTCTTCTTCTTCTCATTCCTCCTCCTCCCTCCCCCGTCCCTCCTTCTCCTCATCCTCCTCCTCCTCCTCCTCCTCCTCCTCCTCCTCCTTCCTTCTCCTCCTCCTCCTCCTCCTCCTCATCCCGTTCCCCCCCTCCTCCCTCCCCCTCCTCCTCCACGTCGTCCTCCTCAGGGCCTGGCAGACGGGATGATGGGGTCGTGATGGGATGATTGTTCGGCTGTCTCGTCATTGCTGGATTCACCAATTCAACCGTCGTGCCGCATCGCCTCGACTTCCCCGGGCTGCGCGCGGGTTGGCCAAGGGCATTCGCGTCACCACTGGGCCAGTGGCATTGTGCGTGGCTAGAACTCTAACTAACGGCCTCGGGCTAATGCGTCCATGCCCCCGTTCCCCCCTCAGCTCCCCAACGCCTCTCCCTCCTCTCCGCCCTCCCATTCCATTCCATCCCCCCTTCTCCCCTTTCCCATCTCCCCCGATGCCCCGCTCGGCACGGCTCCGCTCATCCCGGGCCCCGGGTTCACATCAGGTCGGCGACGGCCGCCAGCCCGCGGGCCTGGAGGGAGGAGGGGGGAGCAGTCGGTGGAGGTGGAGGTGGTGGAGGAGGAGGGCAGGCCCACAAATGACGCGGCCTTCACCATCTTCAAGTATTGCCCGTAGAGCCCCCAGCGACGGCGGCGCCCATTGAGGCGCAACGAAGACTTGACAATATTGCACCACCGCGTGGAAGCCCCGGGATCAAAGACGGCATCGACGGCCTCATCGAGGGCCTCGTTGCCATCCGTGGGATCCTGGATCACCTCGAAGCTCCCATCGAGTTTCTGGGCCGCCATCATGATGGCGCTCCGACCAGCGCAAAACAACTGATCCCTCGGGCCCAAATCCTTCGGAACCCAGCTCGACCTCGTCTCCCTCCTCGCTCCTCCCTCTTCCCCTATCCCTCGCCATTCCCCTCCTCCTTCCTCTCCTCCCTCCTCCCTCCTCCCTCCCCTGTTTCCTTTTCCGCCCGCCCTCCCTCCGCCGCTCCCTGAAGCTCTGGCCGGGCGCGAGAGCCCGCGAGCCCGCGCGGCCGCCGCCCGCCGCGGCCCCCACGGCGTCGCCGATGGGAACGAGGACGTTTCCGCGCGGCCGCCTCCCTTTCTCTGATCCCGATCCTCCCTGCCTGGCTCCTTCGCACCCCCTGCTTCCTGCCCCCCTCCCCTCTCCTCCGCGCCCCCATCCCCTCCTGCCCTTCCCTTCGCCCCCCGCCCCCGGCCCCCGGGCCCCCTCAGCCCCCCTCGCCTGACCCTCCCCGAGGGCCTGGCGTGCAGGGGGAGCGGCGAAAGTCTCGCGCTTCTCTTGCTCGCATACCCTCGAGCGACTTGCATCAAAGCGGCACCTATCCAACGTCTCGCGTCGGAAGATATTAAGCTAGCGGCCGAAAAAGCTCCGCAGGGGAAGGGCTCGAGCTGGGTGGTGTTAGGGCTTAAGAAGGGCTGGGGCGCAGGAGGGGCGCCGGGGTCCCAGGGGCCACAGGGCCAAGGGTTTCGGGGCAAGGGCGAGGCGGGTTGCGTTGTAGAGGGGGCTGCGGAGCGCGCCGCCTCGCGAGGCTTCGAAACTCGAGACCCGATGTCCTGACCGCCAGCGCCCACTGCGGCGCGCCAGGGGCGCGCCAAGCGGCGTCGCGCTAAGCCGAGAGAGCCCCTTCAGCAATCACTTCGGGCTTCTCCTCAGCGCGGAGCCCGCTCAAGAGGGACGACCACTTGGCGCGCGGCCCCTCGCGGATCGCAGGGTAGGAGGCCATCATCAGCTTCACAGCGGCCTCGGCGTTGCAGCGGCTCGTCGGAGACGGCGTGATGGCCCACCGCGCACCTCGGGAGGCGCGAGCGTTCTTTCAGACTCTACACCCTACCCCCATCCCCCATCCCTCCTCCTCCCTCCTCCTCTCCCCTCTCATTTGCTCATCCCTCCCTCCCTCCCTCCTTCCCTTCCCTCTCCTCCTCCTCCTCCTCCTCGTCCTCGTCCTCCTCCTCCCCTCAACGCCCTCCATTGCCTCCAGCCTTCAGCGCCCCCAGACGACGGGTCCCCGGGGTCCAGAGACGGCCCCCAGAGGCCTAAATTCGCGGAAAACATCAGCCTTGATCTTCCCGCGAACCACAGCGACGACGACGACGACGACGACGACGACGACGACGGACGACGGACGACGGACGACGGTCGACGGACGACGGACGACGGACGACGACGACGACGACGACGACGACGACGACGACGCGACGACGCGACGACGACGACGACGACGACGACGACGACGACCTCGACGACGACGACGACGACGACGACGACGACGACGACGGACGACGGACGACGGACGACGACGACGACGACGACGACGACGACGACGACGACGACGGACGGCGACGACGACGACGCCGATCGAGAGAGGGAGGAGGACGAGGAGGAGGGGGAGGAAGTGGAGAGGGGAGGGGGTGGAGGTGGAGGAGGAGGGGCAGGAGGAGGAGGAGGAGCAGCAGCGGGGGAAGCACGAGGATCGGGATACTACTGACTACTAGCTACTGTTTCCCGCATCCTGTGCTCCTGCGCTCCCGTCGGACAGGAACAACTGGAAGTGGCCGGCAGGCGTGATCGCGAGGTCGCCAGCCTTGAGGACCATGCGCGAGCCGTGCTGCTTGACGATGTCCTCCCAGCCCGGCGACGTCAGGCCCTGGACGTGCGTCCGCTTCCTGATCAGGTCGATGCCGGGCACCGCCGCCACGGGGACGCAGTCCAAGACGGCCGCCCCCGTCAGCATCAAGCGCGCCTCGGCGTTGCCGAAGGGGGCCATGCCTGAGTAGGTGTACTCGTCGGTGTCAACCCAGTGCTGCATCGCGTAGATATTCCGCACCAGGGCGGCATTAGTCTCGTCCGTAGCGTAGCTGTCGATTTTCTCGAACGCGGCTGAGGGCAATCCTACTTCTTTGACCTTGGACTTGATGAACTCGGCCACCTCGCCCTTCAGCTCAGACGCGAAAGTGTTCTTCTCGGTCGCCTGCAGCCTCTCCGACGCCCACTTATTGTGGGCCTTCAGGCCCTTCAGGTTCAGGATTGTCTTCATGCAGGCGTCGGCGACGACCACATCCGCAGGTGACGAGAAAAGGGGGACGTCGTCGTCGTCGTCGTCGTCGTCGTCGTCGTCTTCGGCGTCGTCGTCGTCGTCGTCGTCGTCGTCGTCGTCGTCGTCGTCGGAGGAGGTGGAAAAAGAGCAAGAGGAAGGAGGGAGGTTCCACCTTCACCGGAGTGGCCACCAGCGTCTCGGAGGTCACCGGGCCCGGGAACGCGTTGATATCAGCCGCCTCGGGCTTCGCACCCTGATCGCCGCACTCGGCGGCATCGACCTCTAGGCTCTCCCACGATGCAGTCGGGAGGCCCCACTTCTTCCGCTCCTTGTGCTGCTTCGCGAGGGTCGTCCTGAAGGTGCTGCACGCCTTCTTCGCCTCCTTGTGCGCCGTGCTGCTCTTCAGGTCCTTCTCCAGCGCGTCGAAGGTCTTCGTCAGGGCCTGGGTGTCGCCCATCCTTGTCAGACCCGCGAGTGTCGCGAGCTTCTCGTCAGCACCGCCCGCGATCTTCTTGCACTCCTTGTCCAGCGCCTCAGCCGCGGCCGTGAGAGTCGCGACCATCTCGTTGATCTCAGGCGGCACCTCGGAGCCTTGGAATACATCCTTGATCTGAGCGGGTGCCATCTCAACTTCTTCCTGCATGTGGCCAAAAGCTTCAGACAACTTGGTTTTCGCCGAGGTTAACCGAGAACGGCACGTCACCTTCGCCTGCCCCTTCTTGATGTCGCTCCCCGAGTCCGCCTCGGATTGATCCTGCTTCTTCTTCTCCGCCTCCGCTTGGGCCCACTCCTCGGCAGCTGCAGCATCCTCTGCCTTCTGCTTCTCGATGGCCTGCTCGTCCCTCTGCTTCTCCACCAACGCTCTGAGGATCGACTGCGACATCACGTCCCGCTCCGGCTCGACGTTCGGACGCACGCCAGCCACGAAGTCGTTGAACCCCTCGGGCTGGGGGAGCGCGGCGTTGGAAGTCAGAGGGCCCTGCTGACCCCCGCGGCGCTTCTTCCGCATATCCCCGCCTTCGGCCAGAGCACTCTTGAGGTCACATTCGCCCGTAATTTTCCTCTTCTTGCTGAGCTTCTCGCCCAGGTAATCCTCCTGCCCAGTGAACGTACGAAGGCCCCTGAACTTGTAGATGAGGTCGATGCCCTTGTACTTGCGAAACGGCGTGTCGACGTCGTCCTTCAGCTCCTGCCACTTCTCCTTGGCCTCTTCCTCTGTCAGGGTCGACTCTTTCTGCTTCTGCTCGAGAACCATTCGTCGAAGGGAATCCAATCCTCGAGCTGGCCGTCCGAACGCAAGTCCTTCTTGCCCTGCTCCTGCGCCACATCCTGCGACTCCCACTGCCGCTTCGCGTTGCTGTCGCGATCCTTGTTCTTCTGCTTGGTGTCCTTAAACCACTTAGCCTTTTCTGCTTTGTCCTTGGCCGACCACCATTTCTTCACTGGCTTAGTCGAGGCAGCCATGAAGGACTTGTAATTGCGTTTGCAATCCAAGCAACTCTTGAGGTTGGCGCTCCACCTGACGAGCATGGCAGCAGGAGTCTCCTCCTCGCAATTGCAACATACATCAGACACATCCGGCGCGGGGCCCTGTGGGTCGGGAGCGGGCATGCTCGGCCACTCGGCCTCCTTGGCTTCGAGGTCTCTTGGCCCCGTTAGTCTCGAATGCACTAGAGACTAGATGGCAATGGAGGGTGGAGGGAGGCGGGCGGGCGGGACGGAGGAGGATAGGGGATATGCGGAAGACGGGGAGGAGGAGGAGGAGGGAGTAGAAAGTATAAGTAAGAGAGGAAGAGAGGAAGCGGGAAGCGGGGGAGGATGGACGGACGGACGGGGGGGAATGTGGCCGGGGGCCAGGACCTGTCCGAGCACGCGCGCGGCACCAAGTCCCCGGTGCTTGGACGAGAAGATGGCGGAGCCCGAAGGCGGCGCGCGTGTCGCATCGAGGATTCGGGTCGGGCATTGGCTCTCAAGCAGCCCTGTCGATGCCACTCGGAGATCCCCAAAGCCCTCAGTGCCCACACCCTCGGATGTCCCTTGGAAGCTCTTTGGGGGCCCGGGTTGGGTTGGGGCCCTCTTGGAGCCCTCTTGGGGACCTCGTGGAGCCATCCTAGAGCCTGGAGCCCTCTTTGGGGACCTCTGGGGGCCCTGGGCCCTCTTGGATATTGGATCCCTCTGGAACGCCCCTGGGGTCTCTTGGGCCCCATCTGGGATCCCTGGGTCCCTTGGGCCCCTCGTGGGGGACCTCCTGGGGCTCTCTTGCCCCCCTGGGACGCCTCTGGGGTCATCTTGGATCTTGGACGACACCCAAGCCGTATTGGGGCCCCTCCTGGACTGGCGTGGGGTTTCCTCAGGGGCCTCATGAGACCTATCGAGGCGGTATAGCCTTGTGTTGTCATTGGTCATTAGCGTCGATCAGCATCGATTCAGCGTCGACCAGTGTCGATCAGCGTGCCGGCAAGATGACATGAGAGATTCCCGCGAGTTGCGACATGAGTTTTGTTTCCTGCATGACTCGAAGGGGTTCAGTATGGCTTACTCGATCTCTACCCACATCTTGGCTAGGGCCGAGGGTCAGATAGAATAGTGCTTTCCTCTGCAGGACAAACCAAGACAGGGACGTCAAGGTGGTCAAGCGCCTCGCCAGTGAAGATGACGAAGATTTGCCACGTCCAACCGTTCGCTTCTGTCAAAAGTTTTGGCGCATCAGTTTCAGCTTGACCGAACAGGTTGATTTCGCCCCTTGACGTCCGTTTGGTTTGTTCTGCAGACCTGACATCCCAGTCCTACTCAACCCACATCCCCATCCCGATCCCCGCCATCACAACAACACCCCAGCTGGGGATGTGCCCCTCAATGCTCGGAGGGAGCAGCACCTGTCCCCATCTTGGCGGAGGGGGTAATCCGGCCAGTGGGGCCTTGTCCACGCTGGTGGGGACCCATCGTCGATCATCGATCGATCGTCGATCGTCGCTCGATAGCCGCTCGCCGCTCGATCGTCGATCGTCGGGGCCTGGGGGCGGCCCCAACCCCGCTGGAGGCCTTTCCGCGCAACGCTGCGCCCTGCCCGAGGAGGAGGACGAGGGGGAGGGAGGAGGAGGAGGAGGAGGAGGAGGAGGAGGAGGAGGAGCAGGAGGAGCAGGAGGAGCAGGAGGAGCAGCGGGGGGAGGAGGAGGAGGAGGAGGAGGAGGAGGAGGAGGAGGAGGCGGAGGAGGAGGAGGAGGAGGAGGAGGAGGGGAGGAGGCCCCCCCCCCGCTGGAGGCCTGGCCGCGCACCGCTGCTGCGCCCTGCCCGAGAGGAGGAGGAGGAGGAGAGGAGGAGGAGAGAGAGGGAGGGAGGAGGAGGAGGAGGAGGAGGGAGGAGGAGGAGGAGGAGGAGGAGGAGGAGGAGGAGGAGGAGGTGGAGGAGGAGGAGGACGAGGAGGAGGTGGAGGAGGAGGAGGAGGGAGGAGGAGGAGGAGGAGGAGGAGGAGGAGGAGGGAGGAGGAGGAGAAGGGAGGGGGAGGAGGAGGAGGAGAAGGAGGCCTTCCCCCCCCGCTGGAGGCCTGGCCGAACCCCGCCACGCCCTGCCCTCGCGCCGCCTGCACGCCGCGCTGTGGGCTGTGGGCAAGCGGGGCGCAGCGCACCTCGCCGCGCGTGGACGCGCCGCGCCAGGCCTGCCGGGGGGCCGCTGGGGCCGTCGGGCCTCGGCCGTCGGTCGTCCTGTTCGGCGCCCAAGCAGTGCGTGGGTTGATCGACAAGGCCCCAGAGATCCAACGCATTCGGCCTCGAGGGAGGGGCCCTCGCCGGGCCCCGGGACCGTCGACAGAAACGACTCAGGATGAGAATCCAGCCCTGGGGAATGGGTCGAGACTTCGGGGGACCGCGCATTGAAAAAATCACGGCACAGGATCTCTGGTCTCTGGGGCCGTCGGTCGTCTGTTCGGTACAGTACACCAGAGGAAAACCCTAATCAGTGGATGGCTTGATCGATAAGGAAATCGACCAGGAACCCGGGAGCCCCGAAAGCCACCGAAAGACGGATTTGCGACGCTAGAATTCACGGGAAACATCAGAGAGGTGAGGGAGGGAGGGAGGGGGGGAGGGGAGGATGGAACGGGGGGCGGAAGAGAGAGTGATGAAGGGGTCGCTCCACCTCCCTTCCCCGCTTCTCTTCATCCTCCACTCCTCTCCCTCCCCCGCCACTATCCCTCCCCGTCCAGTCTTCTTGTGCCCGTGGCTCCCTCGACCTCGCTCTCTTCGCTCGCCTCTCTCGCACTTGTTGTGGGAAACCTCCTCGCCTCCCTCCCTCATCCCTCATCCCTCGCCCTCGCCTCCCCACGTTTCCCTATCGACGGCGGGCCGATGGGCGGGCAACGAACGGGCGACCATCTTTTCGGCACACGCTTCTCGCTCAGCCGCGGTCCCGGCGACCAAGTCGCACTCACGCCGAGATTCAACTCGTGTCTGAATTTCATTCTCCCCTCTTTTTCCCCGACGACGACGACGACGACGACGACGACGACGACGACGACGGCGACGGCGACGGCGACGGCGACGGCGACGGCGACGGCGTCGACGACGATGAAGACGACGACCCACCTCAGACGACGACCCACCTGGAGCGCGTTCTGTTCTGTTCAGGGATTCGAGTCGGATCCTGCCGCGGCGACAACGGGGGGCCCCCGTCGCAGTCCCTGCTGCGCCACCTTGACATGCACGCAGAACGGTCAGGAGCACGGACGACGTCGCCATTCACTACCCCCAAACACCGCTCAAGTCACGCGAGGGCGCTTCGGGGAAGGCGGGGCACCAACCTCACCCTGGCCCTCGTCGTCATTGTCGGTGCCGAAGGCGTCCGGGGGGCCCTCCACCTGCAGGCCGCACGCGTCTGGCGCGGGCTCCACGTCGACCTCGAACTCGAGCTGCTCTGGATACTCGATCGTTTCCGGGAAGAGGTCGAAGTCCTCTGGGCTCGGGGGGGGGCCCGCATGCCCTCCCAGAGGCCCTAGCCCGACGCTTTCCCTCAGTTACTCCCCATCTTTCCCTCAGTCTCTCTTTCCCTCCCCTTCCATCCCCTATTTCCCTCCTCCCTCTCCCCCCCCCCTCCTCCCTCCCTCAGTTCCCCCCTCTTTCACATCCCCCCCCTCCCTCCCTCCCGCACTCCCCGCTTCCCCCCCCTCCCTCCCCGCTCTTCTCCCTCCCTACCCTCGTCCCTCCCTCCCCCTCCCCCCCTCCCCGCTTTCCCTCCCCTCTTCACATGCTCAAGATGTTGCTCCAAGTCCAGCCTCGGGCGTACCAGAGAGTGGATTCCGCCCAGATCCTCAAGGAACCTTGGAGGTCCTGATGGGGGTCCACTCAGAGGACTGGAGGCGCCTTGAGGCCCTCTCGGGGCCTTCCTTGGAGCCTCCTCAGGGCGTTCCCGGGCCCCCTTCGGAGTTCCTCGGCGCTCCCCGAAACCATGCATCCTACCGCTGGTCTATGCTGAAGCGAGCCCCCTGCGACGCCATTTTGTGGCCATTGTCTTCCCGCGATTATTCGTGGTCGCGGCTCGCTTTGATGCAGCAAGAAGAATCTAATTTTAACTTGAATGCGTTGGGGGCAAAAGTAAGCTGGCCCCCTCCCCCTCGGGGGAGGGGGCCACGAATAATCGCGGGAAGACAATGGCCACAAAATGGCGTCGCAGGGGGCTCGCTTCAGCATAGACCAGCGGTAGGATGCATGGTTTCGGGGAGCGCCGAGGAACTCCGAAGGCAGCCCGGGAACGCCCTGAGGAGGCTCCAAGGAAGGCCCCGAGAGGGCCTCAAGGCGCCTCCAGTCCTCTGAGTGGACCCCCATCAGGATCGCCAAGGTTCCTTGAGGATCTGGGCGGAATCCACTCTCTGGTACGCCCGAGGCTGGACTTGGAGCAACATCTTGAGCATGTGAAGAGGGGAAAGCGGGGAGGGGGGGAGGGAGGGGGAGGGAGGGAGGTGAAAGAGGGAGGGGAGGGAGGGGAGGAAGGTGAAAGAGGGAGCCCCCTGGCGAGCGTCCGGCGGCTGCTCCGCGGCGCACCCCAGGCCGCAGCCCGCCGCGTCGTCGAGCTCCTGCAGGCGCGGGGGCCGCGGGCTGGCGGGCGCTATCCTTCCCAGACCCTCCTATTCCGTTTGCCTCCTTCTCCCCTTTGTTCCTCATATTCCCCCCCCTTCCTCCTCGCCCACTCCGTTGCCGTCACCGCGTTCCCCCCCCTCCTCCTGCTAATCCGCCTTCGTTTTCGCCTACCTCCTCCAAGCCCCGCGGCCTCCGCTTTCCGAGGCCCCAATGCCACAAACACACGCGCACGCGCGCGCGCACACGCACACACGCACGCACGCACACACACGCACGCACGCACACAACCACGACACACGCACACACACACACACACACCACACACACACCACACACACTCACGCACGCACGCACGCACGCACGCACGCACGCACGCACGCACGCACGCACGCAAGCAACGCGCGCACACACGACCACACACACACCACACACACACACACACACACACCAC